CACCCCAGCGATGCCTGTGGCAGGTGCTCAGTAGCCCATGTGGGGCAGGGCAGGATTTGAATTTAAACTGGCAGAATGTGGGGCAACAGACATTCTGTGGTGGGGGAGGGGCAGCGGGGAGCTGCGCTTGTAGAGGGGTGGGATTCCATGGGGAGCTCTAGCAGGTGCGAGAAACCTGAATTTCCTTGAAGGACTCAGTGGTAGCAAAATTGGTGTGTGCCTCTGAGGCAACTTGAAGATCTCAGATTACTAGCCCAAAGCCTTCAATTCATGTCCCTGTTACTTCAATTTATTAACAGTGAACCAACTTTTGTGCTTCTTAGCTCATTCCAGTTCCCTCCTTCTGTTCTTCTTATCTCACCCTGATCCCCTACCGTCCATCGAGATGGGCTGAGTAATTTTAGCAGTGATGGTCCTTTCTGCACAGAGTGAGAACACATAGTCTAAGAAATACCAGGTATAGCAGGTGGCGGACTCGGTCTTTGAAAAGTCACTATCGGTCACCGGGAGATGCCGCGAGGTATCCATTGTACCGGCGACCCGTCTTCTGGTAGGGAGTTCTGGGCCAGACGGTGGCAACTGTCACAGAATGGTGGATGCTGGTCGAGATGGCCTACGAGGCACCCACCTACCATCTTATTTTGGAAGGAATCCTAATACTGTGGATAATCAGACTTCTTTTCTTTAAAACTTACAAATTACAAGAATGATCTGATCTTACACTCAAAGAAAAGGAGGAGTTGATTGAAGAATGGCAACCAGTACCTCTTGTTCCTCCTGTTTCTAGCGGCCATCCTGCTCTCAATTACAACATTATTTCAGGGACTGCTCTGCATCTGGCCTGTGCCAGTGGCCATGAAGAAGTGGTGACTCTGTTAGCAGAAAGAAAATGTGAACTTGACATTTGTGATGGTCGAGACAAGACAGCACTGATAATGGCTGTGCAATGCCAACATGAGAAATGTGCAAATATTCTGCTGGAACATGGTGCTGATCCCAAAGCTGCAGATGCCAAGGGCTACACCGCTCTTCATTATGCTGCTCATCATGGCATGATATCGATGGCAGAGAAGCTGCTTTCACTCCATGTGCATGTTGATGTCAGAAGCGAGGCAAAAATGACACCACTTCTGTGTGCTATAAATGCAGACAAGCCACAAATGGTGGAATTTTTATTAAATAAAAATGCAAATGTATATGCTGTTGATGAAATGCACAGGACAGCTCTCATGTTTGCTGCAAAACATAGATCAACATATCTGGTCGAGCTGTTTCTTCATCTTGGTGTTAATCCCTGTTATAAAGATGACTTGGGATATACTGCAGAAATTTATGCAAATTTTAGTGGATTTAATACCTGCTGTGAGCTACTTTCTAAAAGTGTAGAGAAATTCAAACCTGAAATGTTTCAAAGTTATAATGCAATAGGAAAAAAGAGTTCTGGAGACTCTATACAAAGCATTTTCAAGAAACCTAAGAGGGATGATTCACGGCCTACAAAGGGTGATGACGTCTTAGATCTCGATACCAAGGAAGGAGAAAGAATATCAACAATTGGAGAAAAAGAAAATGGTATTGATGTTATTGAACAAGAGCAAAGAAAGAAAGACGATTTAACTTGTGATAGAGTGCGCAGAACATGTAGACAATCTGCAAGATCCAATTTCAGAACAGGAGATGATGAGGTCATAGAGTCATTTTGGGAGTCTGAGGTTGATGAAGAAACACACAGAAGAAGTGAAATGGAAACATCAAAAAATGTACTTGACGGTGCTGTTGCTCTTTCTTGGGACGAGGGCGATGGATTCACTCAACAGAGTGCAAAAGTTGATCATCAACAATTTCCTGCGAAGGAGAAGTAAGAGTGCGATAGTAACAATTCTACTCGGTGTGTGAAGGACACCAAGAGGAATAACAATGAGAAATGGACCTCGATGAAATGTAGGTTTAAACAAGCATTGAAGGTTGATTCCACCTTCTGATGGTCGACCAGGTGTGAATGTTGTCAACCATTCTCATAGAATATATCCGGAAGGAGTCAGCAGATCAACTTTGCATGAGAAGGATATAAAGAAAAATAAAAGTAAGAAGTGTACCTCAAAAAATTAGAGTGTTATACGAGTGTTGGAGACTGATTCATCTTCTGATGGTCCACCATGCGTGAATGCTGACAACAGTTTACATGAAAGAAATCTGGAAGAAGAAAGGCCTACAAAGGAAACATCTAAGGAAAAGAAGAAGTCATATCAGGCAGCCTCAGAGGACCATGACTTGCCTCACTCTAATTACAAGAATCCTGCAGTGCTTAGAGTGGACTCTAAAGATGCTGATAGCCAAATAAAAATCCAGGATGCAATGTTGCCAGGTGAAAGATTAATAGAACATAAAGAAAGTCATTATGAAGAACTTATAGGAAGAATTCAGAGGCTGGAAAATGAAGAAAGTGGACTACAAAAGGAGCTGTCAGAAACCAAAGAGATCAACTCACAATTAGAAGTGAAAAAAGTGAAGTGGGAAGAAGAATGCTGCAGTCTGTGGGAAAATTTAAAAGATAAAGAAGAACAGTACAATGAAGTGGAAGTGAAAGGACAGCTTGAAATTGATCTTAGAACTCTGGATGTAGAATTAGACACTGGAAAAGATACTTTGTATCAAGTTGAAGAAGAGCATGAAAACACCAAGAAAAAAGTTTCTTTGGAACAAAGTTTCAGAATAATACAAGATGAAATTATGACCCATCACCTTTATGAACAAGAGGAGCTAGAAATGACTCAAAAGAAAAGAAACTCAGAGGTTTCTGATAAATACAAAATAGAAAAATATCCGCTGGGAGCAGAGCACATATTGCAGAATGAAATTGCTCAACTAAGAGTGGAAATAGATAAAATACAACATCTGAACCAAGAAAAGGAAAAGAAATATGTTGAGGACATTCAAATCCTAAAAGAAAAGACTCATGATCTTGAAAAGACAATAAAATGGAATGAGGCATCATTAAGTAAAACAATATCCCAGCATAGTGAAGAGCTTAATGTTCTAAGAACTCAGAATATGATGTTAAATTATGAACTGGAGAATGAAAAGCAAAGCAAGGAAAGACTGGAAGCAGAAGTGGAATCATACCATTCTAGACTGGCTGCGGCTATACGTGATCGTGATCAAAATCAAAAATCAAAAAGAGACCTAGAACTTGCTTTCCAGAGGACAAGTGACACGTGGTTTTGTGTACAAAGAAAAATGAATGAAGAAATAATGAAACTGAAAGAGGAAAATGAGAGTCTTTCTCAACCTTCTGAAACTGAAAGTAAAGTCCATAACCTACAAACTGTAGTCTACCTGAGAGAAAAAACTCCCAGAGAAGAGAATTTGCTGTTACAGCAAGTAGAGAGAATCCTAAGCAAAGCACAGGGTCTACTAAAGGAAATTGAATTCAAATATGAGGAAAACTGTCGACTACAAAGCAAAAATATGTTGCTTCGACAGCAGTTGGAAAATGCTCAAAAGGAAGCTGACGCTAAAGCAAGGACAATGGATATGCAGGATCGGCTTTGTGAAACTATCAAACACCACGTTCAGAGTGAAAAACAAAGCCTTATGGTGCAAGAGAAATGAGTCACTCAGTGAATCTGATCATTTCAAAGAAAGACCGCATCAATATGAAAATGAAAGAGTAGAAACAAATGAGTTAGTCAGAGAGCTTTGCTGTTTAAACAAAAGACTGAGTCAATATGAAAGTGAGATAGAAAGAAATAAGGAGTTAGTCACTGAACGTAATCCTTTCTTTTTTTTTTTTTTTTTT